CAAAGTTTGTGAAGGTAGGAAGCTAAAGTATTTTAGCTTCTAACTTGAAAAGCATTAGGGCAGCAGATTGTTAATTTCATTTTCTATTTAATTTGGACTTCATATCTTTATTACATATTTATATATATGCAGCCTTTACAAAAGATCTTGACACTGACTTCACGGTTTTTAAGGAAATAAACATTGTTTGGCACTGTTTGACATTGTTTGGCACTGTTTTGTGTAGATTTATTTGCCAAATAAGACAAATAAGGAAGTGTAAAGATGTTAGCTTAGTTTTTTACTAGTGATTTCATCCTAAAAGATCAACCTGATATGAGAAGTATCTCAAAGTTTTATATAATATTTTATTGTTTTATAGCTTTTCGGTGTGAGACAAATACTTCAACACGCCCCCTCAGCTCGATTCAGGCTGGACAATATCGGGGTGTATAAATGGGCCAAACAGACCCTTAATGAGCTACCCTTAATCATGAATTTTAAATAAGCCATCAAATCACAACCAGAATTGGCTCTGATGTCATTATAAGACTTGGGGTTTCATTCAAAAATGTCAACCTGGTAGGAGAACTAGCTCGAAATCTTATATAGTATTTTATTATTTTATAATTTTTCGCGTTGGGACAAATATTTTAACAAGTTTATCAACATTATCATTAATAATAATGTGAAATTGTGCATTATGTTAACATTCTCATGATTAAAAATGTGTCAATGACCATTCCATTGTATAAAATATATGGCAGTGCACAACATAATGTGACAATAACACAAGCTCTAGAGCCAAACAACTATCGTAATTTGTTTAATATATATATATATATTAATTAAATCGTATATCGATGTTATAGAAAACATCAAAATGTTGAAATAATATATCAACATTGTCATCATTAACAATGTGAAATACGTAGGATGACAATAATTTAACAGTGACATTTACATTAAGTAATAGTTAAAGCATCATCACCTCCACCAACATTACCAAGAATATGATCAAAATCAGTCAAAGAAATAATTATTAAAAATCATTAATAGAATAATTATACAGGAGCTGATGAGGAACCAGAGATTGTTCATGTGTCGTCGTTTGTGTTGTTGCTATGTTTTGTTTATAGCCTTGAATATGAATATTTAATTTTTTTCAACTAAGTTAATTATATATATATATATATATATATATATATATATATATATATATATATATTTGCTTATTTTTGAATGTAAATACATCTACATATCATATATATACAGTGTTTCTCCATCCGGTGGAAAACTGAATTTACAAGCAATAGCTAAAATGTATTTTAGTTCAACCAAACCTCTTAGGACAGTTAGTGAAACCTAGCTACATGACTTTTAATTATACTCATGAAAAATGAACTAAAGCGAATAAACTGCAAAAATTCATTGAATAAACTTGAAGAACTTTACATGAACATCTTTACCCAACAAAATACTTTTACATGAGAAAAATTTCAAATTTAGCCTAACAAGTCTATTCACATTGGTTAAAATATAAAAGTTTTCACTTAACATATTTCTAATATTAATTTATCTGGTGATAAATACATTGATGATTAAACCCTCATTTTGCTAACCTCGATGTGATACAATTGTGTTTGTTTTGATGGTTAACAAATAATAAACTTAAAATTATTGATGATATCTTGAGTGTGTGGAGGTGAATTTGAATGCATTTTGACTTCAAATGATACCCTCATTTTGCTAGTCTTATATGTGATCGATACAATTGTGCTTGTTTTTGGAAAATGAGCTTCAATTTAGTCATGTTTAAGCAGAGGAAAATGAGCATTTCGGAGGCCCCAGACGAAAAATATTTATTATGTACAAATCACTTTTAAAATCAGATAAATTGAATAAAAATCACCTTATGAAAAAAAGCATATTCAAAGTTCACGATATAATGTTTGTAATATTCAAAAGGATAAATTTTTAAATGCAAACATATGCAAAACACAAGGGCAAACTTATACTTGTAACACCCTATTGGTCTATTATTCATACCTTTTGAAGTGCAAAATCAGTAATAACTTCATAAGTCTCAATTTTAAGCTCAAGTCATATGTACCGGCGTTGATTCGAGTATTGATATTTTTGGAGTCAAAATCAGGGAATTTGAGTCCGACACCGGCGTTTGAGAAGCAATAGGGACAAGTTGAGAAGCATTTGAGAGTTGATTAGGAGCATTGGAGGTCTGTGAGGTGTTAAAGACAAAGTTTTGAAGACAAAAGAACTCTAAAATTAGGTACGAAATCAAAAGAAGACGAATAGGGCTTGAAAAGAGCGGTCAGGACGACGTTCTATCAATCGTTCAAGCATATATTTTCTTAGGAACATCCAAAGAACACCATTCAAGTTTCATATTAAAGCCAACTTCAAGGGCTACAAATCATATGAAATCACCATTGCGAGAATATGAGAGAAGTGAGGTCAAAACAGATGATGAAGTCAGATAATCTCTGTTGAGATTTCAGAATGCGACCTTCCACCATTTTATTCATATATTTTGATTGGATGGTTCAAATCCAGTTTTGCAAGTTGTGTTGGATAGAAGACTTCATTAGCTACAACTTTGATGAAGGAAGGATAGTCAGACGTGAACTATGAAGCCGATTTCTGCTTGCAGTTATCGCTCGATGTATTGGCGGTCTACAAATAACCTAATACTAATACCGGAGTAGAATTTTTTGGAGGCCCTCTTGGCAGTTGAGGCCCAAGGCAGTTGCCTGGCCCAACTGCCCTCAAAGCCGCCACTGTGTTTAAGAATAACCCCCAAGTTTCTATATTTTTTCTTTGTCGATCGAGTTATCGATAAGAGGTTTTTGCGTCACAAAAAAAGTTTTTAAAGACTCAAAAATTTTGTGACACCGCTCCTAAAATATACTATGATAAATGACTCATGATTTAATAAATGTATTTAGAAGGATTATTATATTGTTAATAATGTAAGAATGATTAGTACATTTAATTAATAGTGAGTTAGTGACTAATTAAATTGTGTATAAGAGAAAAAATGTTGAGAGAGATTACCTAATACATTTTGGATCACCTTATTAATTATAACTAAATAATATAATCCATAAAGATGATATATAAAGTGTTTGGGTTAATATGTACGAGGAAAGACAGCCCAAGTGACGAATGCCCAATTTACTGCTTTGGAAAATGAGAGAAGATGTGCAATGTCCACCTTTCATTTGGGGAGAAATACTTTTTTTTATCATCAAAACAAACCGCTTTATATTAAAATCATAAGAAAGGAATCGTTAAAACAAACTCAAAAAGACCAACTTTGTCAATAACTATCCCTAACCAACTAGCACTATCAACCATACGGCTAGACTCAGAGACGATCATCCCTGAAAGAGCAATATGAATCGCTAACCACCAAACAAGTGTGACACAACACATATAGATCCTTTCATCGACATAATATCTAGCATATTTGTCAATCATGATGGTAGACCAAGACCTAAAGACATCAACAAAAAACAAAGCAACATAAAAAACGCGAAAATAAAACCATAAAAAAATTAAATAACTGATAAATCTTCCCATTCCTAGCATCTCCACCGCTCCAAGGCGGCAGTTCAGGAGGGGGGCGGACTGCCGATCTGTCTTCTCCCTTGCTCAGTCCTTCACCCTCTATCCATGTTGATTCGCCAAAAATTAATCATTTGATTTCCTCCTCAATTGCTGGAATGAGACAACAGTGCTCTAAATCATTCATAGAAGACATGATTATAGTTTCTTGAACCTTGGATTCATTTCCAAAGGCTGCAGCCGCACTCACACCTCCTTAAAAACACTTTAGAAGCCTAGAAAAGAAGAACTGCACAAACAATTGGCGGAAAGAAACCCTACGCGACGGCAAAGCCACTAGGGAGACAAAACCCTACGCGACGGCAAAGCCACTAGAGAGACAAAACCCTACGCGACGGCAAAGTCGCTAGGGAGAAACGTTATTAGGGTTAGAGAGATGTTAGAGCCTCTCTCTTGGAGAGAATTCTCTCTTATTTCTATTATTTTGAATATAAGATTTAATAGATTGTCCCCAAAACATGTTGGGGAGAAATACTTAACATGTTTTGGGATCAATATCTATTACATCTTCTATTCGAAATAGTAGAAATAAGAGAGAATTCCCAAAATAGGACTAAAACATGAGGTAAATACAAAAACATGACATATTGTTTGAAATTCCCTAAATGGGACTAAATATTAGTGTTTTGACGGTAATAGCCTTAATGAATCTGTCGTAATATTTTTTTGCGCATCGCAACCATCCTCCAGCCATGTGCCGCAACTATCCTCCAGACATGTGCGGCAACCATCCTCTAGTGTCACAATCGTGTATTCTCCAACAAGTCCACCGCCTCTACTGAGTTCGCCGTCGCCATCCTCTGACGAAGCCCCCGTTCTCCGACAAGTCCATGTAACCTCGATCAAGAATGTCACTTGATATGCAAGTATGTCACTTGAAATGCATAATGACACGATACTGACAATTTCGTATAGAAACATGACATTCTTAATATGCGAGAATGTCACTTGATATGTGAGAATGCCATTTGAAAAGCATAATGACATAATACTGACAATTTCGTATAGAAACATGATATTCTCAATATGGCATTTCCAAATACTGTAATGACATAAAAGTGACATTTTTTCGAATAATCAATAACTATGACATTCTCTGATTTAAAGAGTGACATTTTTTTGAGAATCATTAGTCATGACATTTTGATATTCAAATTAATCAAAAGTGATAAGAAGAAATTCAAGTTGAGATATACCCGATTACTTGTCCTTCGTAGAAATCTAACTCTTCATTTGAAATTTTAAAATTCAAATTTTCATTTAAATTTGATTGATAGAAAATTAACAAAAAAAACACAAAAAATAGAGAACTAAAACAGAGCTAGAAGAGAAGAAGAAAAAGGAGGAGGACGAGGAAATGAAAAGGAGGGTACCTGGCTTCCTTGGAGGAATTGAGTGGCTAGTAACTGGGCAACAGTTCGTAGCTCAATCCACAAACATTTTAATGCCCATAGAAATTGAGCAGCTAGTAACTGTCATGCGAGCGTGTCATGAGGTCAAGAGGAAGAAGATCACAGCTCCCAAATTCTGAAGATGCCGTCACAGATCTAGTTTTTAATATGTCTAAGGCGGTGGGTTAATCAGGGGAAGGACAAAAATGACATTTGGAGTCCTACTTGGAATAATAAATAAACTTGTACTCCTATTTAGGATTTTTGTCAATGTTTTAGTCACGTTTTGGGCAATTTCTTTGAAAATAAATAGTGGTCTGGCCAAGCTAGCAAAGAATGGGCAGTTCGAGTAACCGTTTAGCCCAAATTTCCGGAAAAAAATAAGGGAAGGGGAGCCTCTCTATCCTCTCATTTGAGAGACTTCACGTGTAAGCCATAAAGGGGAGGAAAAGATTCATACAAACCAATATAAAAATGGGAGTAGGAAATGGAAGGAAATCCAAGAAATGAAGTGGGAGCTAGAGGTAATGGATCTATATTCTCGGCTAGTTTCTATAGAATTAATAGTTTGTATACAGGTCCGTGTACCTATGCTCAATTTACCTCATGAACTCAAAAAAAATTCCCATTGACATCCTAAACTTAATAAAAACATTCACATTCTACTTTTTGCAGATCAGGATCCGATCATTGCCACATCATCCGATAAGGTGTCAACTGTGCATCTGATGAGGTGGTAACTTAAGGGGTCAAATAAGCCCCTTAACCTGACTGAATTGCTCAATTCACCACCTCAATCTTTAAAACACCTAAAAATTTTGAAAAAATAAATAAAAATAAAAAATAAAAATATAAAATAAAATAAATGTCGAAAATATAAAATATATATATGATCTGGAAATTAAGTTCAAGAAAATATATTTTGCATTTACCGAAAAATATATAGATGTTTCATACTTATATTTTATATTTTCAACTTGTATTTTTATTATTTTCTATTTCTAATTTTGTTTTGTAATTTTGACATTTTAAGGGTTCAAAGGGTGAATTGAACGATTCAGTCAGGCTTTAGGGCTTATATGACTTCTTAAGTTGTCACGTCACATGCACAGTTGCCACCGTACCGGGTGTCGTGGCGGTGATCGAAATAATTGGTATGAATGTAGAGAAGAAAGATGATACAAAATATAAAGATAAAAAGGAGTTGGAGACCTAAACCCAAACCGTAGAAAACAATGCATAGAAAAAGAGATTTATACTGACTTTTTTATCAATCATGAATCTGAATTTCTCTTGCATCAATATAGAGGTCGATCGCTCCCTCCCGAACAACTGTCAATCCAGGAATATAAGATTACATGAATTACTTTCTTTGTGTTAGCTGGTGAAATCAGAACAATTTGTGCACTTACCTCCTTACTGGTGGTTCGAAAAACTGACAAGTTTAATAAGTCTTTTTCTGTGGCTGGTCAAACTTGACTCATTCCGAGTAGCATGAGCAGTGACACTGCAGTACACGCCTACATGATTGCAGGGTATCATTTAACACTATGGTCTTAATGTTTTGACTTTTGATGTTATGTTTCTTGTTACTCTTATCAATAATAATTAAATTATTATCTTTAAAAAACATAAAGACTCTTTCAAAAAAGCACACAAAGAAAAAGAAAAAAGAAAATAAAAGAAGTGGAAAAAAGAAGCATACAATTGAATTATATCCTTTATGTTCCAAATAATGATAAAACTAATAGAATATTATTAGGCATATTTGTTTCCTAATATGTTTTAAACTTTTTTATTATATATATTCAGTCCAGGACTCCTATTGGAGTACCTTTTCCCAAATATTCTCACATGGTATCAGAAGCCTAGGGCTAATTTTTTTTCCCGGCTGCACTCTCTCCCTCTCGTTCACCGCAGCCAACGATGTCCACCACTCCCTCCGCCGTTTCCTCTGTCACGACGGCAGCGTCGGAACCACCGTCCGCCGCACAAATCACCATCATTCCTGCCACAATCATACCTCCTTCGGCAGTCTTCTCTGCGGTGGTGTCGACCCAACAGTCTTCTCTCCGACGCCGCAACCACAATACTCGGTACCTGCGCTGGAATATTCTTCCTCCATCTGGACGCTGCCCCACCCGTACCAGCTTCTTCACAATCTATCGGCGTCTCTTCCCTGGCCCTCGACGGTCCCTCAGGTCAATTCACAGCCTATCCCGCCATATTCTCCTCAATTTTATGGGCCTTCATTCGCTGGATCCCCTGGAATTACACAGCCATTTCACGACCCCATTATGTGTGGGTCTTCTATGGCCCTATTGGCGCAATCCCTATCTCATGGTGCCAATGTCAGTCAGATTGTTACTATCAAGCTCAAAGCTGTTGAAGACTACCTTACCTGGCGCACACAATTTGAATCTTTTCTGGTCTCTCAGGGTCTATTTGGAGTGATTGATGGTTCCATCCAGGTACCACCTATGTACACGCTGAATTTTAATAATCATCAAATCGTTAATACCGATTACTATCATTGGCTTAGGGTAGATCAAACTATTCGTTCTTGGTTGTTTGCTACCCTATCCCGGGAGGTATTAACTGATGTGCATGATATTAAACATTCAACGGCTATATGGACTCGTTTACAAACACGTTTTATGTCAGCTAGTTTACCTAGAGCCATGGACCTTAAACACACTTTAAATTCCATTAAAAAGAAAGAAAATTAGTCCATGGAACATTATTTGCGTGATATTAAAAATCTGGCTGATGCTCTAGCTGCCATAAATTCTCTTGTGACCGATAAAGAAATATTGGAATGTACTTTGAATGGATTGGGACCTGAATACGCGTCTGTTGTGTGTACCATATCTTTATTCCCGCATGAATTTCCGCCTGATATCCTACAACCAAGTCTGTTAGAGGCGGAACAACGCGTACTTCATCAGCTCCGTCGGGAGTCTTCAAACTTGCAGCAGGCCTTCGGTGCGCAAGCTGGTCCAAATCAGCCGGGTCAGCATAACCAGCAGCAGACATACCGCGGCAGAGGAGGCCGCGGTAGAGGCGGCCGCGGCATGGGAGGCTGCGGCAGAGGTCGTGGACAGTTTCAGCAATTTTATCAGCCGGCCAACGGCGTTCCACAGCCGTCGGCGATACCTGGATCCTCGGCCACAGGGGGTGCTTCTACCTCGAGTACACCAAATGCTTCCGCGGGTAATTCTGTCATGTCCAATTTAAATATTAATGCTAAATCTACTTTTGGTACTCACTTTCATTATGCAGGTTTCCCATCAGCGGAGGGTATTCTTGGCTCCGTTCCTTCCCCAGTTGTGTGTCAAATTTGTTTCTCTGCAGGTCACTCTGCACTACACTGCCCATCTCGTTTTACTCCAACCTCTGCGCCTGCTTTGGTTGCTCCCAGTGGGGAATCCAACGATGCTTTGTGGTATCCAGACTCCGGTGCTTCTGCTCATACGACGTCGTCTGAAGGTATTTTGTCAAATAAATCTCCTTACTATGGCTCCATGATTGTTAGTGTAGCGAATGGTACTACTCTTCCTATTGCTAATATTGGAAATATTAGATTTAATACTCCCAGTCGCCCATTGTCATTAAAATCTGTTTTTCATGTGCCTCGACTTAAATTTAATTTAATTTCCATTCAAAAATTATGTGCTGATAACAACTGTGTTGCTATTTTTGACAAAAATTATTTTTTGTTAAGGACAAAACTTCGGGGGCAGTTCTTCTTCAGACGCGTCATAATGGTCATCTCTATCCTATCAGCCTTAGTCCGTCTGCACCTTTAGCTTTAGCTACTATTTCTTCTCCTGACCCTGTGTGGCACCTTAGATTAGGACATTGTGGTGAATCTGTTTTACGTGTGTTGCGTAGTAGAAAACTTATTTCTATTTCCTCAAATTTTGAACATGATTGTGTTTCGTGCCGTTTGGGTAAGTCCCAACGGTTACCTTTTTCGGATGCTAGTCATACTACTTCTGCTCCTTTACAATTAATTCATTCTGATGTGTGGCAATCTCATGTTCTCTCTAATTTAAGTTTTAAATATTATGTGTGCTTTATTGACGATTTCTCTCGTTTTACTTGGGTGTATCCCTTGCGCACCAAAAATGAAGTTTTTCACCAGTTTCGTCTTTTTAAACTTTTAGTTGAAACTTTATTTAATTCTAAAATTAAAATTTTTCGGAGTGATAGAGGGGGTGAGTTTGTTAATTCTCATATGCAACATTTTTTCTCTGAAAATGGCATTTATTTTCAAAAATCATGCCCTCATACTCCTCAACAAAACGGTATTGCTGAGCGCAAACATCGTCATATTTTAGAATTTGCTAGGACTATGCTTCTCACAGCCTCTATTCCTAGCACATTTTGGGTAGATGCTATTTTTACAGCTGCATATATTATTAACAAGCTTCCTACTCCTAATTTGTTTGGTGTTTCTCCATACGATATTCTTTTTCAAAAACCTCCTGACTATAGTTTACTACGTGTTTTTGGGTGCGCGTGTTATCCCAATTTTTCGGCCTCTTCTTCCAATAAACTTTCTCCTCGTTCTATACAATGTGTTTTTCTTGGCTATGCATCTGGGTTAAAAGGATACCGTTGTTTGGATCCCAAGTCTGACAAAGTTTATATCAGTCGGCATGTTCGATTTCATGAAAACATTTTTCCTTATGCCACATTGTCTTCTTCTACGAGTCATTCTTCCTCTGAATATAGTCCTCTCATTAATGATTTTACTCTCACCAACACCACCGCCCTTCCTCATAGTTCCGCAACCACTATCCCCATCCATGTTCCTGCCATAACCGAACAAACACCCCCCTTAGCCGAAGGTTCCCCAACACCGGTTTCCAGGCACTACTCTCTACCTCTATCACCCATCTCTGACCCCATACCCCCTTCGTCTCCGGCCGACCATTTCCCCACACTGTCCGCATCCGTCACCTTGCCAACCGACCCTTCCGCCACTGCCCTCCCCGACTCTTCCCCTTCACCGCAAGCTAGCTCTGGCCCCTTAACCAATACTCACCTTATGCAGACCACAGCGAAGTCGGGCATTTTTAAACCAAAAACGATTTTTAATTTAAACATTGTTGCTTTATCAGCTGATCCTACTTGTTTTTCAGAGGCTAATAAACAGTTAAAATGGCGTGAGGCAATGACTGAGGAATTTAATGCTCTTATTTCTAATAATACTTGGGATTTGGTGCCATTTGATAAAACTAAAATTGTCGTGGGCTCTAAGTGGATTTTTAAGACTAAATATAATTCAGATGGTTCCATTGAGCGCCATAAAGCTCGTTTGGTAGCTCAAGGGTTTAATCAACAGGCAGGCGTAGATTTCTCTGAAACTTTTAGTCCAGTTATTAAACCCACCACTGTTCGTATTGTGCTTACACTAGCTATTTCTTTTGGGTGGGTTATTCGTGAGTTGGATGTCAAAATTGCCTTTTTGCATGGACACCTCACTGAGGAAGTATATATGCGTCAGCCGCGGGATTTCATTCATCCTTTGTTTCCTAATTATTTATGTCGATTGTGAAAAGCAATTTATTGTCTTAAACAAGCCCCGCGAGCATGGTTTCACCGATTTAGTAGCTTTCTTTTGGCTCATCATTTTACTTGCAGCAAGTCTGATAATTCATTATTTATTTACCGCCAGAATAATAATGTTATTTATTTATTATTATATATCGATGACATAATTATTACTGGCAATTCTTCCGCTGCTGTTAATTCTTTTATTCAGCTTGTTGCTAAGCAATTTGCTATGAAAGATCTCGGTGATCTTAACTATTTTCTAGGTGTCCAGGTTGTTCGTTCCACGAAAGGTTTATTTCTTTCTCAGCATAAATATGTTTCAGATCTTCTCTCTCGTTTTCATCTCCACACAATTAAATCTGTTCGTACTCCACTTGCTACTCGCACTTCTTTATCCCTCACTGTTGGGGAGCTTCTTGCAGACGCAACTGAGTATCGTAGTATGGTTGGTGCGTTACAGTATTTAACTTTGACACGACCTGATATTACCTATGCTGTACATTTAGTGTCTCAGTTCATGCATGCCCCTCGTACTACTCATCTATTTGCGGTCAAGCGCATTTTTAGATACTTGTAGGGAACACTTGATAATGGATTATGGCTTCAGCCGACCACTCAGGCTACCTGTGTGATAGCTTATTCAGATGCAGTTTGGGCAGGCTGCCCAGATACGTCCCGCTCTACGATTGGCTTTGCAGTTTTCTTGGGTCCAAATCTTGCCTCGTAAAAGTCCAAGAAGCAAGCTACCGTGTCTAAGTCCTCCACCGAAGCCGAGTATAGAGCTGTTGCTTATACTGTCCAGGATACATTGCATATTCGTTCGGTTTTGTTTGAGCTTGGATTTCCGGTGACCGTTCCAGTTCAGCTATTCTGTGATAACATATCTGCATCCTATTTGACTGTCAATCCTGTCCAGCATGCTCATAGCAAGCACATCCAGATTGATTACCATTTTGTTCGAGAACGTGTGGCTCATGGAGACCTGGTCGTGAAGTACATCCCTACCCAACTGCAGTTGACTGATATTTTTACTAAAAGTCTTTCTAGTCAGCAATTTCATTTTTTGAAGAACAACCTGCGCGTTGTATCTTCCGCACAATTTGAGGAGGTGTAATAGAATATTATTAGGCATATTTGTTTCTTAATATGTTTTAAACTCTTTTATTATATATATTCAATCCAGGAATCGTATTGGAGTACCTTTTCCCAAATATTCTCACAAAAACATACATAAATGCATATCACAACCGGATATGTGTAAACTTACATAAATGCATATCACAACCGGATATGTGTAATGCTAACTTCAATTTAGTAACTTTAATTTAATTGTTGAATGTTAAATTAATAAATTGTCTCAACGTAAAAACGTTGAAGAAATTTTTTAGGTTGAACTCGGTGAGATGAATTAAAAAGTGGAGGCCGTATAACTAAATCGAGAGTAGGTGTCATGCTACTGCAATGTTTTTATACTCCGTATTTGGTACTTTATAATGTTTTTAAATGGAGTGAAATTGTGATATGATCTGCTCTGAAGTCGGCTAACGATTCATACATGTATTTTATAAGGGAGAATTTGATTTTGCATCCCAATTTTGAGGTGTTATTGGACTTTGCACTCCATTTTGAAAAAACTTTGATTTTGCACCTCAACACATAACATTTTGTGAAGAAAAAATATCATTGGGGTGCAAACTGTAAAGTCAAAGGATTTTTAAGTGAAATAGCGTGTAAATTCAAAGTCTTTTGAAAATGTGGTACAAAGTCCAATATCACCAAAAAAGTGGGTGCAAAGTCAAATTCCCCCATTTTATAATTGTCAAACTGATCTAGGGAGTAATTAGATCTACGGTATTTTGGTACGGTGTACGAGTATATAATACGGAGTATACGGGGGCAAAATAGGAATTAAGAAATAGATCAAAGGCGGTCACACACTCGCTCTTGACAGGCGGAAAAGTTTAGCGAAAAAAACGATGGCTTTATTCGGCGCAGCAAGAACCTTCTCTATGCCCGCGGTCGACCTCGGCGGACTTCGCGGTCGTTCTCCGATAGGCTTCACCGCAGGCTGTATATCACTTGCCGGTGTGAGCTTACGCCGATTTCCGTCGTCGCTGTCTAAACCCTTCGCCTCCCTTGGCATTCACGCTCATACCAGTAAGAATCTTCAAAGTGCCTATACTACTATTGGGTACTGTGGTACACAAATGCTTTATTATTTTAGAACCCTGTCTGTTCATGGTTGAATACGACTCCATTGTGATTTTGTTGCGTCCATTTCCTTTTCATTTTTTCATCTCATCGTCTTCAATTAGGTGCCTTTGTTTGAAAAATTATACGGTGGTCGATGCAGTAGTGTATTCTGGGTTCATGAATTTTTCCTTTCGGGGTTGAATTAGCATCTGATGTCATGATAATAGGTGCGAAGGAGGTTGTTCAAACAGAAAAGGCTCCGGCCGCATTGGGTCCATACTCTCAAGCAATCAAAGCAAATAATCTTCTCTTTGTATCTGGAGTTCTTGGGCTTGTTCCAGAGGCACGACTTTTTGTTTATTTTAACAAACTTCAATTTCCAATGCTTTATGTGTTTCCTCATTTAATGTTTATTGTGTTTCATGCTTATTTTGCAGACTGGGAAGTTTGTTTCGGACAGTGTGGAGGATCAAACAGAGCAGGTAACATCTGGACTTTACGATATCACATTTAACACTAAATTAGAATTAATTTGTGCATGACCTTGTTAAGAGTTAAGACACACAGCAATTAATTCATCAAAAGTTTTTATTAATCTATACTGAAGACGCTATTACAGAAGTCCTAATCATAATAGAAAACATAAACCTAGTCTTATTAGAAGTTGAGTGAAACTGTAAAACTAAATTCCTAAATCTCAGTATTAAAGGAAACTACTATTACCAATAATGATGATGACAATGATAATAATAACAATATCATAAACTCCGCACATCATTACTCCCCTTGTGGACATCAAGCATGCCTCAAGTTTGAAGGAGAGTAACATGGAAATTCAAGCTTTTCCATGATCAAATGGAAACATTAGGAAACCAATAATCAAGTGATCACATTTGATAATGTGCCGGCAATCAGCAATCTCTATTTGCTGTTTAGGGATACCCATGCTGTACCTGTAGTGATCTGGCTGCGATGAAGAGACATAGAATGGGTTTGTTGGAGTTATTGGCCACCATGGGAGGATGGCCACCACAAGTGAGGGAAAAGATGGAGACTGAGCTGGAGTTTTGGATGTGAGTGTTACTAGCTGGAGTGTAAAAGTTTTGGGTGGCATTAACCCGGTTGATGGTGGCGAGGAGTGATACACGTCGTTTTGGTCGTGTGTACGAGAGGCGCATAAAAGGGGCCTAGTTAATTAATTGTCCACAAGCTTTCCTAATTATTTTCCTTTAATTATTCTAGTTGTTTCCTTTTATTCTGCTTTCCTTATCGTAGTTGTTTCCATTTATTTAGCCTTCCTTATTTTAGGCAGTCTCTTATTAATGAGTTTGTAATAGTTTAGATCTGTTTCCTAATATTATTTAGGAACCGTATTTCTGCCTATATAAGGCTTATCAGTTTGAATAGAGTATTAAGTTTGGGTTAATTAATCTCTTGATTGACTGGTGGAGCCAGGGATCACCTTCCTTGCCCAGGGCAGGAAGTTAGGGTTTTTTATTCCAACATCATAGCTTCAGATCCCGTTTTTCATTATCAACGACCTTGGACGAGATCATGTACCAAGGCCCTTAACAATTTGGTATCAGCATCGAGGACGATGGGCAATGAAACTCTTAATGTTGAAACCTCCAAAACTTTCATGGCAGACATCAACCAGAGACAAGGGACTCTTGAGGCAAAGATTACCGATATGATGAATTCTTTTTCTGTGCAACTCACAGCATTGAGAAGCAGATCTACAAGCTGAAACGATGACACCAGCCGTCACAGTAGTTCAAGCTCGCTCCATGACAAACAGAATCGCGACCTTGGTGATTCCAGTATGGCTCCTCGTTATTCCAAACTTAAATTTTTATCCTTTGACGGTACAGGGGACCCTCTGAGTTGGTTGAAGGGCTGAAGGGCTGATGAATAGATGATTAAATGGTGTCCTGCTTGGAGGTCTGCTGTGTATATTTTGTGGATATCTTTGTCTTTGGTATATAGCCCAGGCTCTACGAATCAAATGGTGAAGCAGGTCCCAATAGCAGCATTTCTAATACTCTGTGGGTGGGCAGATGGCAATCACCTTTGGAAAAATAATGAAGGGTGGAGAACTGAATCCAATGATGCGGATGAATACGAAGTCGTCGAAGTGGAATATTATGAGTCTGTGATCAAATGTGTTAACAAAAAAGGGTGATTTGAGAGTAATGACTGATACCATATTGTTACAAGCATGGTTGGGATCTGAAAAAGAACGGGAAAAGAAGGCGAAGTAAAATAAGTATCTAGAATTAATTGGCGCCCTACCTTGTTAAGACACATGATGATCTATTCTATCAGAAGACCCCTTAAATAGCTATTACAAGAACCTTAATCATAATAGGAAACATAGAGCTAGGTTAATATGAAGTTGGCTAAAATTAAATGACTAAACAACAACACTAATAGGAAACTACTATTACTAATAATGATGATGATAACAACAAGAATAATATCATAGACTCCTCATGTTAGTCCCATCATAACTCTGTGTGTATATATGTTGCTTCCACCTTTGTGTTTCTTGGGATGCTTTTGCAAATATTGATCATAAAAGTAATAAGTTTGAACAAGTTGATTTTTAGTGCATGTGTACTAATGTATTTATGCCCCCCCCCCCCCCCCCCCCAAATTCACTTTCCTTCATAAGTTTCTCTTTATTTTTCTTCATATTTTAATTGCGTAGGATTTTTTGAGTTCCAAAGGGACCCTCAAGTAATTCTGTCCTGGTCTCTCTATTGAGTTTGTGCTGGCATGTATGCAGGTTCTCAAGAACATGGGAGAGATACTTAAAGCAGGCGGTGTTAGCTACTCGAATGTTGTAAAGACTACAATCTTGTATGTGCTGTATACTGTACAGATAACGATATTGCTTCTATGTGATCTCCTTGTACTTGATGCATTACATTCTTGATTTTTTAACATGTAGTTATCCACTACTGCAGGCTGGCTGATCTGAAAGACTTCAAGGCAGTGAATGAGATCTATGCTAAGTGTAAGTATAGATGAAATGAAACCATGCTAACTTCACTCTTAGAGTATCACTACCTGCATCGTGAATCTCATATATTCTTGATGACCTTGCAAATTTTAAACATGTGTTGTAGTGTCATTTAAATCTAGTTTTTCTCCTTATTTCTTTCGCCTTCCAAAATTTTCCAACACAATGTTTTAAAAATGCTTGGTGCCATATGGTGGTTGGAATCAATTAGATGGGTAGGGTCAAAACGGCCAGACATACTGTCAAGGATTAGGCAGGGTGTTGGAGGGGAATTAGACATAGTGAAAAGAATCATAGGCGCAAGCTGCAGTGGAGCCTATGTTGGACATGGTTAGAAGATGAAACGAAGATTGAAAACTAGTGTATTTGTAACAATAACTTGGCTTCCTTCCCTAAGCAAGGGAGTATCAGTCGGCTCCACTGAACAAACAAGGAGAATTATTACTCCAAAAGATTGATGATCTCTAATTCTCTATTTATACTTGTCCCAAGAGTACGGGTAGCAAAATATTAAGAGTAACCTTAAACCTAGTAGGAATACAAACTATAATACTTATAACAAACAACCACCACTACTAATAATAATCATGATGATGAAGAATTGAAGGTGTTATACTGACAATGATAGATTGCTACTTTTAATGATAATGATACTTATAATGATTATGATAATGATGGTGGTGGTGGTGGCAATGATAAAAGACTTGTTCTGCCATATCTACGTGATACCTAGATGGGATTAATTAGGTTTAGGCAGGATATCTAAGTGGAATTAGGCATAATTGGGGCCAGTGGATTTTACAACGGAAACGTTTGTTGTCATCATGTCATGTGGATGGGATTCTGTTCAAGCAGTGAAATGATTTTGTTGCAGATTTCCCGGCACCAGCACCAGCGCGGGCGACATATCAGGTTGCTGCTTTGCCGATGGATGCCAGGATTGAAATCGAATGTGTTGCGGCTTTATTATAAGCACACATTAATGGGACAGCTTTTGTCCTATTTCAGGATCACTGGGAGCTAGCTACTTATATATTGATAATTTATGATGACTGGGTAACATAATAAATGAAATTTAAACCCCTTCATCCATTTTTCTATAAAGGCCTTATCTGTATGCATTTGTAGTTCAATGTGAGTATCTTTGATGATTATTAATTAACATTATATAAAGATCAATTTTGCTTCATCTGGAAGGCTATAGCTTAGTGCAACTGAGAGTGAAATTTCCTTGATTTATCGCGGTGTTGTTATTATTATTATTATTATAGAAATTGCTTAATATAGGACTAAAGCATACACAAAGTTAAAATATAAGACGAAGTATGTTTTATTCCCCAAATAGAATTTCTTTAGTCTTATTAACATAATAAGTTGATTAAACCTTCCCAAACTAGGAGTGAACGAATCATATTTTGGTAATAAAACAATGATAGCCCTATTTATGAACTTTATCCTTGCTTAGGGAATTCTCTCTTATCATTATCAGTTATCATTATTGTTTTATTTTTACGATTTTTTTGACTGATGGACTTAACAGTGTTAATACGCCTTTCCAGACCATAAAAGTGATACAATAGAGTTAGGTTGCTCATGAAGCCAATTGCCTCCTCACTCGGGAAGGGCTCCCCTTGCTAAAGTAAGGGCATAACAGTTCACAGACGACCTATCAAAATAGAAATTATTAATATCAAAAGATTTTAGATAGGGGTGGACTCGGGCCGGGCCAACCGGCCCGCTACTGTGCGGGCCCAAACCGGCCCGGTGAACCGGTTGGTTGGCCGGTTCGGGCCACCCGGCCCGGTGGGATCTCGGTTCGGGCTCGGGCCCTTCAAAAGGTGAACCGGTCCGGCCGGTTCGGGCCCGGGCTGGGCCGGGCCATTTTTTTTTTGATTTTTTTTTAAGTTTTTGGGTTGGGCTGGGTATGTTGGACCATTTGAGGTGGTTAGGGTTGGTTTGGGGGTGAGGGGAGGGTTGGGGGTTAACTAGGAAAAGCCAAAAAAAAAAAAAATTAGAACCGAGGCCCGGCCCGGCCCGGACCCGGGGGTTACCTGGCTCGGCCCGGACCCGGGGGGTTACCCGGGCCGGTTCGGGGCCTCCCATACCTTGAACCGAGGCCCGGCCGGTTCAAGGCTGGAACCGGGCCCGGCCCAAACCGAGTCCATCCCTAATTTTAGAGTGTCCTGAAAATCCGGAGAAGCTAGTAAAAAGGAGAAGTTCCAACCAAACTAGTCTGTCCTCAGGGTAACTGGCTTTGGCTTCAGGTCTGAAAAACCAGGCACTTTATTCTTTAACCAACTCAAAGCTTCCACTATCGCCAAAGCTTTGGCCTCCCTGGGAAGAATAGAGGCAATGAGGTATTTTCATATGATCTCCTTCCAAAGCCCTTTCTTGCGGCAAGAAGCTCATTATGTACCAGGTAACCTCATTCTGAATCCATCCCGGAAAATGACTTGAGCTTTGAAGTTACATTGAAAGACCACATTTTGACCACAGAAGGAATAGTATGTTATAGGCGGGCGGGCACTCGGGCAGGCTTCCACCTTATTATTTGAATTGTAGCAAATTTTAACAAAGAAGTTACCCTGAAATTCGAGCACCCCCCAACGGGCCAACCTGCTCAAAACTCAGCAGAATCGTTCATCTTAATCGTTCATCTTAGTAAGGAATCTACGCAGGGACGGATCTAGCTTTGGCATCCGGGTGGGGCCAAAATGTAATTAAAAATGAATATTCAAAAAAACATTTATTCTAGCAACAAAATCAAAGACAAAAAAAAGATTATAAAAATAAGAGTTTTCATTAAAGTCAAATACAAAAATACCATAATTTTACAACTGTTCTCTACGGGTTTTCATCGATTGATATCGTTTGATTATGACATCATTGTCAATTTTCAGGAAGATGTCTTTTTCTACATAAACAATAAGTCTATCATTGAGTCAGTCATCACTCATCCGGTTGCTCAACCTATCTTTCACTATATTCATTGTTGAAAATACTCTTTCAACACTTGCAGTTGCAACAGGAAGATTGAAACACAATCTTGAATTCATATCAATACATAAATTTACATAATTTACAATAATATTCATTACAATTTACAAGTTCACAAATAATAATCAAATTCATATCAAGCAAAGCTGTAATTTAGTCTTTAACTTGAATTAAAAACACAAAAAATTTAAAAGATTAAAAAAATACCTCTTAACCACTTATGACTTTATTGACTTAGGCATAGTGGTGGACTCGGGAAACCCCAAATCTCCTCTTCTGACTTAGGCAGCACTTTTCCTTTTTTATGTTACGAAAAAATCCCAAATCTCCTCTTCTCAAAACTTCAAAAGTATCTGTTATACACAAGAATTTGTTAGTTTACTGAATTTAGGGAAGAAATTGATCAGTAACATTCACCTTACCTTCTTATTAAGAGGGATAGCTTTTAGCTTGTTTGATGACAAAGAGAAATGAGAGGATTTAGAGTAGCAGCCTGCCGCCGCCGTGCGCCGTCCTGTCCTGGCCGTCCGGCAGTGAAGATGGCCGTCGCACGTCGCCCCGTCGCGGCGTCGCCCGTCTGGGGTTCGTTTTACGTTTTTGGCGTGGGGTTTTCACGATATCGGCAAAGCAGAAGGCGCTGCTCTTGCTCTTTCCTTGCGCTGGGCTTTTTGGAGTACTCGAACTTGGGCCTGATTTTTTAAAATTTGAGACAGAGCCTATTTTATAAACCTACATACTACTACGTAGTTAAAAAATAAAAAATTTGAGCATGGGCCTGGGCCCTCCCTGGCTCTAGGCCCAATCCGCCCCTAAATCTACGTCCAATTTTGATTTTCCTTAAAACTACAATCTACACTTGCTTTAGTTAATTTTCCACGACCGGTTGATTTTGAATGTGGGTTGGTACCAATTTTGGCATTAGGGAAATCAAGCATTATCTTCATGCTTGTTTTCCAGTGATTAAAGTCTTTGAACATTGCTAGATATCTTGGGATCTGAATGCATTGTTGTTGATCTCTCAAAGAGCACGTTACAAATTCGAGTCTTATCACAATCAATGATGTTGACATTATCAGGGGCGTAGCCAAGGGTTATGGTGGACAACGGACCCCACCTGAAAGTTTGAGAGTATAGAGTTCTAAAATATCTTCATTTTGATATATTATGGCCCCCATAACTCATTACGAATAAAAAGTTATGATTTCTAGAAAATCAGTACTATCTAAATGTAAAATCAACAAAATTTGGTGCGTAATATTGATTAATTTTCCAAATTTTAACTTATTACTTACGTGACATGACTCAGAAACAGAGTAAAGATAATCTATCTTATTGCTTCGAGTGCCTATTTATCTAAACTACATAAGAAACATTCAACTCGGAGATTGTCTAAAAATGATCCACCATTTCATTTTGTATATGGTTGATTTGTGACTCCTCTGGGTCGTTCTCCTAGTTAACTCCGCCATGAGATCATTTTTGAAATCATGCCTGTCCCAAGCCAGGATAAAGGAGGAGGGTGTTGTGGTAGGCACGTGACAGCCGACAATATCACCTAATCACATCACATGACATAAATCGAAATATGAATATCGTTATAGCTAGGTCGTTGCCCGTAAGCGACGCATCATCCCTTCGCCTGGGGTAGTGTCAAATATGCAAAGGCGCGCTACACTTCATAGGTCTGGGTGTGGTGATAAGAATGCTAAGGTTGCTAGGTCGCTTCTCGGAAGCGGCGCGTCATCCCATTGCCCGGGGATGATGTCAAATATGCAAGGGCATGGTGGGGTTCGAGGTGGGGCTAAGAACAGTAGGTGGAGTGCTAGATTGCGTTTTGAGACATGGAATGTTGGGTCTCTTACATGCAGATCTTACGAGGTAGTCGAAGTTATGAGGAGAAGGAATATCAGCATTATGTGTGTGCAAGAAACTAAATGTGCTGGAGAGAAAGCACATGAGATTAATCCCGGAGGTTTTAAATCGTGGTATTCGGGGAGAGATAAGACCAGAAATGGGGTAGACATTATTATGGGGCGTGACTATGATGAGGATGTGGTCGAAGTCTTCAGGAAGAACGATCACATCATGAGCATTAAATTGGTGATAAGGGATGAGATTGTGTCTGTGGTAAGTGCCTATGCACCACAAGTGGGATTGGATGCATCTACACCTCAACAGTTCATGGAAGATCTTGAAGACGTGGTGCGATGAGTGCCAAGGGGAGAGTAGTTGGTCATAGGAGGTGACCTCAATGGACATGTGGGCTCGAGTCGTAATGGCTTTGAGAGTATTCATGGCGGACATGATTTTGGCACTAGAAATGAAGCGGGAAAGAACATTTTAGATTTTGCCTTGATGTATGAGTTGGCTATAATGAACATTTGGTTTAAGAAAAGAGACTCTCACCTTGTAACCTATAGAAGTGGAGCTAATAGTACCCAAATTGACTACTTCTTAGTACGGACCACTTGGAGAACTAGCTACACTGATTGTAAGGTTATCCCAGGTGAGAGTGTTGTCACTCAGCATAGGATGCTTGTGCTTGACTTTCAAGGTAAGAACCATAAAAGACAAGTTAAGCAACAAGTGGAGTCAAAGATAAAGTGGTGGAGGCTCGAGGGGAGTTTTCAACAAAGCTTTACACATAAAATGGCGGTGAAGATGTATGGCGTATTGATAATGAAATACATGTAGAGGATGTGTGGTTATCAATGGAGTTGACCATTAACAAAGTGGCAAATGAGGTACTTGGAGAATCTAAAGGATGTCTACCATCCAAAAAGGACACGTCTTGGTGAAATGATGAGGTGAAACAATCCATAAGGAACAAAAGAGATTGCTACAAAAAGTTGGGGACAATTTGGAGTGATGAGAACATAGAAGCATACAAGGAGGATTAAAGGCAAGCAAAGAAAGCCGTAAAGGAAGCACGAGCGAAACTGAAGGAGTTGTATGAAAAGTTGGACTCCAAGGAAGGCGAACAAGATATTTATAGACTTGCTCGTCTTCCTGATAGCAGGACTCATGATATCACAAAAGTTAAATGTGTGAATGATGTCGATCAAAGGAAATTAATGGAGAACGAAGAGATAAAAGAGAGGTGTAGGTCATACTTTGACACACTATTCAACGGGAACAAAACGCAAGAAATCTGTGATTTGAACATACCAGATTGTATGGTTAATCGCGATTTTGTGAGAAGGATCCAAACAACGGAAGTTAAAGAGGCTCTGAGGAAGATGGGGCGGAAGAAAGCAGTGGGTCCAGATGGCATACCGATCATCTGGAGAAACAACAAGATGCCAACGAGTTGGAGGAAGAGTACTCTGATCACCTTATTTAAGAGTAAAGATGATGTACTAGAATGTGCCAACTATCGAGGGATTAAGCTTATGAGTCACACCATGAAACCTTGGGAGCGAGTAATTGAGCAAAGACTTCGAAAAACTGCGAAGATTTCAGAGAATCAATTCGGTTTTATGCATGATCGCTCAACAACTGAGGCCATTTATCTTCTTCGGCAATTTATGGAGAAGTATAGAGACGCTCACAAGGATATGTATTTGGTGTTCATTAACTTAGAAAAGGCATATGATAGGGTACATCAAGAAGTTCTTTGCTGGGCGTGAACTAGAAAAGGCATATCACACAAGTATATCAGCAAGGGCGGATGGTGGCCTGGCCAGGGGTGGGCTTCAGCCCAGCCCAATTTTTTTTAATAGGATTGGTTTATTTTTTATTCTCAGCCCACCCTAAATTTAAATGTCAGCCCACCCCACAAATAATTCCCAGCCCAGCCCAGAAAAAACAGCCCACATCTGCCTAAGTGCCTAAGCCTTACCGCTCCCAGTCTCCCACTCCCAGCCTGCGGAAGTCGAACGAACTGGGCGAAGGCAGCAGCGACTCAGCGAGGCCAGCGACCGAGCGACACCGAGCCTGAAGCGACCGAGCGACGGAGCGCCGGCAGCCGCCTCTTCCTCTGCCCGACCGGAGACCGCGGACCGCCTCTTCCTCTGCCCGACCGCGGACCGCCTCTTCCTCTGCCCGACTGCCCGACCAGGTAAATCCTCTGACCTCTTTGTTGTTTTCAGGGATGAAGTGTGGAATTTTTATTGTGGATCAGTGAAGTTATGAACTTCTGCTGTGAATGTGTGAACTTTGAATGAGTGAATCTGTGAATTGTGCATTTTAGGTTGAACAATACCAGTAATTTTAGAATTTAGAGTGAATATGTGAATTGTGCATTTTAGAGTGAATGAGTGAATCTGTTATATATTTTTTATATAAGTTTTTTAATTTATACCAATATTGAAAATGTTTTTTTAGAATGGATAATGAACATGTTGCCAAGAAGGGAAAGAAGTTGATTTCATCATTCTTTTCAAAAGTGAATCGTCAAACCGGTGAAGGAAGTTCTGAACCTATACCTACGATAGTGCAAGATCTAGTCAATGAGGTTCCTTCACATGTCCTAGTCCCTGAAATCCAATCTATCTCCAATTTTGAGTTGCCTTCATCTTTTTCCATTGAGAGGGATCCGGGAAAAAGAAAACAAATTCATGAATACCATGTTAATGTGCGAGATGAAGTTAGACGTGCATATCTAAATGTTGGGCCTTATCAACCGAGAATGGAAGCTTATCCAGTGAAAAAGTTTGGAGCTCAAAACCGAAGTTTTCAGAAACACTGGTTTGACAAGTTTAATTGGTTAGAGTATTCACCTGTGACTGATAAAGCTTACTGTTTTTTCTGCTTCCTTTTCTTGAGTGACATTCATATGCATACTACTTCTGCATTAGTTAACGAAGGATTTCAAAGTTGGAAGAGGGTAAATCAAGGAAGTCAATGTGCATTTCTTCAACACATTGATATTTCAGAAAAATCACCTCTTGATATTTTGAGTGCTATTACATTCGTTGGTACTACTAAAACTATCCTTGCAGAGTTAAGAGCATCTGGTTGGGAGGAATTTCTTTAAGAAGTGAAGAGTTTTTGCTCTTCAAATGATATTGATGTTCCAAATTTGGGTGATCCATATAAGATTGAGCGTTCTCGTTTCCAATCAACAATAGAACATCATTATCATTTTGATGTCTTCAATGAAGCGATTGATTTTACTTTGACTGAGTTAGGCACGCGCTTTAATGATACATCCATAGAACTTCTTCAACTTAGTCTTGCTTTGGATCCCAAGAACTCCTTCAGCTCATTTAACAGTGAGGATATCTGTAAACTTGCAAAAAAGTTTTATCCTGCAGATTTCACTGATCAAGACATTGTCTCACTTGAGTATGAGTTGATTCACTATAAGCATGATATTGTTTCAACATCTGAAGCGTCCACACTTGTTGAGTTATGTCAACATTTGACGGAGAGTGGGAAATCAGAAATCTATGTTATGTTGACGAGACTAATTCGTCTAGTTTTGACCTTACCTGTTTCTACTGCTACTACGGAAAGAGCATTTTCAGCAATGAAGCATGTGAAGACGGCACTTCGTAACAAAATGGGAGACGATTTTCTTGAAGATTCATTGATGATCTACATTGAACGAGACTTTGTCAATAATATAGATATAGATTCTATTATTGATGAATTTTATACTTTGAAGTCGCGTAGGGCACAACTTAAATGATGTTTTAATGAATTTGTAAGCGTTGACGACTTCACTTA